CTGTTAGGCAGAATTAAATAATGTATTGTCTTAATTGATTAATCAGATGGTGAATGTACTTTGTCGTATTTCTTTTCTAAGAGATTATTTTATATTATAAATAATTTAATTCGTTTGAGAACCAATATCTTAGTTTTCATATGTGATCTTTTCAGACAAAATGTACTTGGATGGTTCTCTGCATAAGCATTATAAAAATGTTAACGATTTTGAATTGCAGTAATAAGTATACATTTTGAAAGTTTGATAGAGTAAAAAGAAACTAAGTATAAAATTTTAGATTACATCTGTTCAAAATTAGCATGTTAATTAAGTTTTGGTCCTTTTTAACTGGAAACTATTACCAAATATAGTTATTACAAGGCTAGAAAATAAAACCATTTCTAAGTTGCAAAAGAAAAATAGCTATTCTTCTTATTGCAAAATGTTTATATATCTAGCACTTGAATATCTTAGAAATTAATTATGTGAAAAAACACAAAATATAGAATGAACTACCAAATGTAGTTGGGAAAAATTATGTAACTGTAGCATAGGATATCTAAACTCTGAAAGTCTTGCAATTTTTTTGGCTATAGACCAATTTCTTTGGTAATTAGTGCTTTGCGATGTCAATAATTACTGTGACTAAAGCAGAACCTATTTGGAGATATTGATCTTGTAAACTTTACTTACTTGAAATATTAGTCATAGTTATTCATATGAGATGGTCATAGGTTATCATTTTTATTATACTACTCTTTTGGGTGTAGACCAGTGTTTCATTATGGACATTGGCAAATTATGATTCGGCAAGGATAATCTGAAAATGTCATTGTATTCATCTGTTGTAACTTCTTTTTCTTTTAAATTTATCAGTTACTTCACTTAATTTGAACATGAACTACTCTTCTTCCTTCCTACTATTTTAAAAGTGAAAATTGTTCCTTTGTCACCTCATTTGTCACTTCTTTCTCTTGAACCTAAGCCAATAGCTTCTTAGTAAGTTTTATAACATCGCTTGTAAGATAGCCATTTATTAGTACATTACTTAGCAGTGCTATTTTTAAGGTGAGTTTTTTCCATAAAACTTTCACTGTTAACGATTTTATCTTGATGCCTCTTAAAGAAACTAGAGTATTTCCTTTTCCTACCCCACGTCACTAAATATGTACTTATCTGCAAATATAAATGTATATCCTTTAAACTATAAACCCAAAATTCTAATGATTTGATAATGTGGTGTTAATTATGTGGTTGGAATGATTCTAGTTTTTATTTCATAAGTGCCTCTAAAAGTTTTGCTACTCCTTTGCATTTATTACTTTTGGGAGAGATTTACTTCTGGGTGATAATTGTTAGATTGTCATTTTATTAAATCTAGGCAAACTTTTTTAAAGAGGGAAGATAATTTGTTGTCTTATCAGAGTCCTGAATTTGAGCTTTGTCAGTTAATACTGCCTATTTAGTTTAGGGTTGCCACTTGGAGTTTGACATCACAAACATTCACCGATTACTTGAAGAGTCAACACAATGATAGATTGGTTCACCCCTTAAATTTAGGGAGTTTGCTTTCAATTTGTGGATTTCTTTCTGAAACTTAAATTCGTCAGAAACCTGTATCCTTAATTTGTGGATTTCTTTCTGAAACTTAAATTCCTCAGAAACCTGTATCCTTGATGGATGGGCTTTTGGTGTTTATAATGTCTGCCTTATCTTAGAGCATCTTAGAGCTGAATGAATAGTATAGTGACCCATTTCACTCCTCCACATTAGGTCAAGTTTATGTGAACAATCAAATTATCACTATCCTAGGCTTTAGGAAGCTCTCATTGCCTGGACTTTAGACTCACTGATGATATCTTCTACTATTTTAAGAAATAAAACAGTTAATTCAGCATAATTAGGGAAGGATATTCTTTTTCATCGTCTTGGACTTTTGCCACCAGCATTGAAGTAGCATTTCTGTCTTTTTGGAATTTTCCTAATAGTAATCTCATAGCTGTTAACATAAAAACATAGGTATATCTAAAAGTGTATTCACCATTATTCTGTATTAGTTAATAATGTTCCATTTCTAAATTTTATCATTATTGCTTTTGTTTGCCTACTTCATGAATTTTTCAATTAGAGGTTCACCTATGAGAAAAGCCTTAGTTTTCCCCTGTCTTTCCTTATAAAGAGACACTTGTGTCAGCTAATTAAGTATAATTGAATTAATTTTTGCACTAGTAGGTTTATAGCACACTTTAAAGAATTAAAATTTTTGCACATTTAATTTCTTAACTCCTATCATATCAATTTTTTATTTTCTCTCGTAATTTAACCAGTATATCTTCATTTTTAACTCTTTACTTACTAGTATCTTTTCTGCATTTAATTTCCTGTTTTTCTGTGTTAGGTTTTCTTGACCAGTTACTTTGAATTCTTTGTCTTCTGAAATGTGATCATTAGTTTTCTTCTGTTTAAATTCATATCAGTTAAATGTGATGTTTGTTCTGAATGTGCTTTGAGATTTTAATATTAAAATGTACATTAGAATCTTGGTGTCACATTATTTATTAATAAATGATTTATATTTAAGGTAAGCTGTCATAGATAGACTTCATTCCAGAGCATTAAAAGTTCACCTACAATATGTATGCAAGTTGTAGCTATGTAAGTGTTCAAAGAATTGTTAGTATGAGTCTTGTTATACTCTAATACATCAGAATAGTCAGTGAGAAAGAGTCTGCAATTAGAAATTTAGAACCAGGACTTTTGCCTGTTTTAGGCCTCTGTTCATTTAGCTCTAGGGAAGTTATATCTTGATCATCCATTATTTATGGAAGAGATTTATAATTCCATTTCTGCATTAGTGCCATCCATTCTTGGGTTAGAAATGTACTGTAATGTTTTTGGCATCAGAATTATGATATTATTTATATTAGGTTTAACTTTGTGTGTGTGTGTGTGTGTGTGTGTATGTGTGTGTATGTGTATGTGTGTTTGTTTTTTGAGACGGAATCTTGCTGTGTCGCCCAGGCTGGAGTGCAGTGGCACAAGCTCGGGTCCCTGCAACCTCTGCTTCCCAGGTTCAAGCCATTATCCTGTCTCAGCCTCCCAAGTAGCTGGGATTATAGGCGTGTGCCACCATGACTGGCTAATTTTTATATTTTTAGTGGAAATGGGGTTTCACCGTGTTGGCCAGGCTGGTCTCAAACTCCTGAACTCAGGTGACCCACCCGCCTCAGCCTCCCAAAGTGCTGGGATTATAGGCATGAGCCACCTCATGCCTGGCCCATCTTAGGTTTAACTTTTAAGTTTGTATTTCTCTGAGCTTATATACCAAGTGTCAGTGGAGAGTGTTGACCTGGAAGCACTGTGGTTGGCAGGGAACAACCAACTTAGCATTACAAACTGGTTGTGGACCAATCCGAGAGTGGCTAATTGATGTGCAAGCAATTCAAAGTTGATTGCACATGTATATGTCTATGTTTCAGATATATATATATATATATATATATATATATATGGAATATTGATAATGTTTGTGAAGGAGTTGAATATTCTGAAGGAAAGTTTTTTATAGAATTAAATTTTGATGCTGCCACTGTAAAATTTCTATGTTACCCACTGATTATCATTTTCCAGATGACTTTTGGTTTCAACGGATGTTTATTTGATTACTTTTGGTGCTTTTACACTGTATCTGTTTTTTTAAAATGTGAAATAAAAACAAAAACACAAAATAACCAGTTAAGTCCCTAAACCACCATTTAGGTTTCTCCCAGAGAGTATGAATCCAGTTTATTTAATAGAAAATGTTTTAACTGAGTAAGAAAATAATATAATTGGTGTATGTATAATCAGCTAGAATCAATGATTTATTTCCCCGACTTGGTGAGTTAAAGTTGCTATATATTTATGAGTTGTAAATGCATTATTTGAATGTATTTGGAGATTGTAGAATTTAGTATAAACTAATGTTCAAGTCATAGTGGTTGTTTTTACAATAGTTTGACAAATTTTATTCTGTATTAAGATGTGAAAACAAGGCATTCTAGCTTAAAGAATAAAGAGATAAAAAGCTTTCCTTTATTGTTAATCTTGTTCATAAGAGATCTGTGTTGTAGGCTGGGTGTGGTGACTCATGCCTGTAATCCAAGCACTTTGGGAGGCCGAGGTGGGCAGATCCCTTGAGGTCAGGAGTTCAAGACCAGCCTGGCCAACATGGTGAAACCCGGTCTCTACTAAAAATACAAAAATTAGCTGGGTGTGGCGGTGTGTGCCTGTAAGCCCAGCTACTTGGGAGGCTGAGGCAGGAAAATTGCTTGAACCCAGGAGGCAGAGGTTGCAGTGAGCCGAGATCCCACCACTGCACTCTAGCCTGGGTGATAGAGCAAGACTCCAGCTCAAAAAAAAAAAGATCTGTGTTGCTTAAGCCTGCCTTTATCATGAGCTTTAAATTAATTAAAATATGCTAACTTTTTTCTTAATTCGTGGTATTTTTTTTCCACAAACCTAGATTATTTAATGCTGGTGATTTAAAATACCTTTAAGTATATGTTGTGGAAACAGTTCAATTACAATTAACTCTTGATTTTTAATGCCAATAACAGGAAGAATATAACGGATATGGAGAAAACAGCCACAAAGTAAATTAAATTTTAAGTTTCATATACAAATTTTCACAGCAAATTTACTTTTGTGTATTCTTTCTATGGAAGAAAGATATTATGAAATGTTTGAGGATTGTCAGCTGAATGACAACTGGTTAAAGTAGTATAGAAACATACCTGGGGTTTGGAGAAAATAAACTGGGGATTAAAAGTTTTCTGTTAGTAGAGAGTTGACTATAATGGTAATAGCTTTGATGAATGAGTTTGATGTTTCACAAGGTTTATTTAATCTATTTTCTTTGTGTCTCCCTAATTGAAGAATTATGTTTAAGTAACAGTTTTAAAATATAATTAGGAAATAATAAATATTGTCCTTTTTCTTTTATTTTTTTCTTCCTCTTTTTTTTTTTTTTTTTTTAGGGTATGAGTATTATAGAACAATTAGACCCTGTATCTTTTAGCAATTACTTGAAGAAATACCATAATACTATATGTGGAAGACATCCCATTGGGGTGTTATTAAATGTAAGTATCCTTAGGAAGCCTTGACTTTTAACATTTGGTCATATAATACTCCAAAATATCTCATTATCGTTGTGATACAATGGCATCATTGGTTTTATGTGCCTATGGTCAAGTTTCTTTTTAGTATCTTTAATATAATTTGGAGTTCCATTGCTTTTGGTCACTTGAATAAAGTTATTTATCATTGGAATACAGTTCCATACTTTCTGTTAAATACAGAAAGTTATTTAGAATAGAGACCCACATTTTCTCTTGACTCTTAGTTCCAATATGCTCTTTATAAATACAAACCAACATGACCTTTTAAGAGATATATGGTCTTACTACTTTTTTGGTTTTATTTAGTGGTCTAGACTCTATAAAAAATAAATGGAAGATTCTGCTCTTAAACTTAAGATGTTCATAATGTGATAAAGCAAGACAGATGATGTGTGTTTTTCTCATTAAAACAAAAATAACGCTTACTTCAGTTAAGGAATGATAAGAGTCAGAAGTTTTGGTTAGCTGGATTTTAGAAAGAGAAATAGCATTATTTTTTTCTTCTAATTAGGAAAACTATTAATTTTCATTCGAGAAGAATGAAAATATGACATTCATTAAGAAAGAAGAAAGTGTATACTCAGGATTGGGAGGAGAAAGTAACAATGGGCTCATTTGGAGAGGCAGGGAAATAATGGAGAAGATAATATAGTCCAGAATAGACTAAGGTAGGACCTTAAGTCCAGTATTATTTTAATGTGATTTGAAAGGTAATATATAGTGAGTTTTTAGGAAGGGTTTTTCTTCTAAACTGTATTGATTGATTCAAAGAAAAGCTTTTCAACTTTGAAATTGAAGCTAGAATAAACTGTACTAATTTCCTAAAATCTTAATTGAATCAAATAAAATTTTTATTATAAAGTAAATGCTGAACCAATCTACAATTAAAGTAAAAATCCTAGCATATACCTTTTAGATCTGGATTTTAATTTATATACATTTCAAATTTAGTCAAAGTCAGATAAAGACTCTGATGTCTTAAGACAGAAGTAGCCAGGGATTTGGTTTATACAGTGAAGAGAATATATTTAAAAAGTTAAAAAGGGTTTAAAAAATGGCCTTATTACAGGGAGAGAGAAGGTAAATGATGACTGATGCTTAATTATCAAGAAACAAGATTAGAAGTTATTTGAGAGAATGATAAGGAATTCTTTTTTTTTTTTCTATTTTAATATGATACAACAAGAGAAATTCAAGTAACAAAAGAGCAAAAGAGGTATCTAGGCTTCAGCTGTGAAGTGGACAAAGTCAAACCACAAACACATTGAGTGCCCACTTTTTTATGTGATGTGTGTCCTAACTAAATTTTTCTTTTTTCTAGGCTATCACAGAGCTCCAGAAGAATGGAATGAATATGAGCTTTTCCTTTTTGAATTATGCCCAGTCAAGCCAGTGTAGAAACTGGCAAGACAGTTCAGTGAGTTATGCAGCTGGAGCACTCACAGTCCACTGAAGCTCTGAATCCTCAGGGATGCCACCTGCACATTCTCATACTCTGTCCGGGGTCCCAGCCTAGCCTTTACCAAGATACTGGTCCTGGTTTGGGGGGATTCTGAAACCTCAAACTAATAGAACTTTCTTCTCTTTTTTTCTAGTAGGTGTAGTCCTTCCTTAATTTCAACTCATTAAAAAATGCTTTATAGTTTAGGGCAGTGGAAGGAAGGCTGGCATCAAAATGTTTTCATCAAAAAAGATGACAATGTAAAGGCTCAGTTGTGGCAGACAGTTTTTTGAAAGTAACTTGTAAAGCATTTACCATATCCTAAATTTGCACTCTTTGCAGACTTGTGCACATATATTCCGCTTTCAGAATAGTTTTGCAAATTGTACACAAACAAACAAAAAGGTGGAAGCTTTTTAATAAAGAAATTGCATTTATAAATGATCTGTATTAGAATATAATAAATCTCCAGTTATAGTCAATTACTACCCATGTTGTACAACAGATACCTTCTATTTTAGTTGCTAATAAAGGGCTACACAACTCAAAATAGTCTGATTTAAACTTATTGCTCTGTGGTATATATGAAAATTGTTTTTTATTAATTCCATCTCAGAATTTTTGTTAAAAATGGTAAACCTCAGCTCTTATGTAAAAATATATTAGGATGTATTTTATATTTTATATATTTATATGATTTTTTAAAAATCAGAAATTAGAATCATATAATCTTAAAGTTAACTTTTTAAATTACATGCAGTTTGCCTTTTTGTCTGTGACATCCCTTTGTGTCATTACTATATTGTAACAGAATATATATTCAAGATTGGTAAAAGGACGTAGATGCAATCCTTGACTTCAAAGATCATGTTTGATAGTCTGCAAATGAGGAAACATTGAAGAGTGTTCTTAGTGTTTTTCAAATCATTGCAGACCATACACTGCTGTGCTTTTTTAATACTTTAAGCAGTTTGACTCTTTTACTTGAATTTTTAGCAAGAGATCATTAACGTCATCAACAACAGGCCACTGGATTTTCTTATGGTTACACAATTTTTTTGTCATGATTTTTGGTGCGGCTCTTCCAACTAAAATAATGGTATGGTGTTGTATTACTTTCTTTCTTTAGCATAGACCAATTCTAGTCACTTTGGCCAAAAAAAAAAAAAAAGGTATAATTCACTTAATAATTCAGTCACCATGTATGTACTGCATTATTCCTATTTTAACCTAACACTGAGTGTCTACATTATATTAGAGAAAGTGTTTATATCTCCAGTGTTATGCCAGAGTAGCACAATTTTTAGATGCCTTGCACCAATTTTATTTAAAGATTTACGTTTCTTATTTATTAAATATCAACTTTCTATGCTCGAATGAAATAAAATAATGTTACCTTTTAGATTCAAAGTTGCCCACCTATGTATGTGTGGAAAGTATACTCTTACACATTAGTGATTTATTTTCCATAATTTAGATATACTTTTGAGTACGATTAATATTTATTGTTTAATATGAACTATAAAAATTTTAAAATTGACAACAGTGAATTTTTAAAATAATGTTTTCTGAGTATAAGACTAATACATGATTATTATAAAAAATTTGAAAAATACTGAAAAGTTAGAAAGAAGAGAAAAAATTATCTGCAATCTCACCACCTAGAGATAACCCTGTTAATATTTTTCTGTATTTCCTTTCAGTCTTTGTCTATGCTATTTCTATGTATGAGTGTGTGTACAAGTTTGTGTGTGTGTGTAATAACAAACTTGAGATTATACTGACCATATAGTTATGTACCCTGTTTTTTATAACCTAACTTCATGAATATTTACTCATGTCTTTGAAAATGTGACTTTTAAAAATGGCTGCCTGATATTCTATTGTATGAATATGCCACAATTTACTTCTCTCTTTGGATATTAGGTTGTTCCAGTCTTTCACCATTATAAATAATAGTGAGATAGACATCCTTGTTTGTAAAATTTGATCTCTATATTAGGCTCTTTCTTTATGATATACTCATGTAAATGGAGTAAGTGGTTTAGACAGTGAGAACTTTTTAGGCTCTTCAAAATATTTCCAAATTACCCTTTAGAAAGATTGTGCTAAATTAACAATATATGAGTACCCATCATTATGCCCCTTCAGTATCATTATTTTTTGTTGATCTTTGACAATTGGTTAGCATAACAACATAATCGGTTGTTTCTTTGATCATTCTAATAAGAGTTGCTTTACAGTTAATCATTTTTGTCTTTCTATAATTTTATAGTTGATTGATTTTTAAAAAGACAAGAGGGTTGCCTAAGTTGGTTGGACTGTAGTACAAGTATGGTTCTTGCACTTTTAAAACTCTAGAAGCTGGACATGATGGTATGCACCTGTAGTCCCAGCTACCTCGAGCGTGCAGGCAGGAGGATCACTTGACAGTTTGAGACCAGCCTGGGCAATGTGGTGAGCCCCCCAAAACCCTCTAAACAAACAAACCTGCAGAATATTTCAGCATCACTCTACGCTTTCCTAGAATATCAGCATACTTGGTCATGAAGTAGAAAGAGTTCCAAACTGATGATTGAGTGTTGGATTCTAGTTCTGTTTCTGGCCACTAATTAGTTCTCTGAACTTAAGTGTTTCATGTCATATTGAAACTTTCTCATTTGTATAATGTGGAGGGATCTCTTAAGTGCTTTCTAGTTTCAAAGTACTTTGATATTGTGACTTTATTTTTTAGAGGTTCCAGTGTCATTTATTTTTAATAGCTACATGAATAATGTAGAGATACTATCTTTTTATTTCAACCTCACACAGATGGAAACGAAATCTTGTTATTTAACACAAAAGGAAATTTAATTTACATTATTTAATGCAGTTAATATTACCTAAAATGTTGAACTTAAGCTTTTCTACTTTAAGTGCCTTTAAAAGTTTTGTATTTGGAATCTAAAATATAAAGGAAATTCTTATGTAGCTCTATACAGTTGCTTCTTTATTATATAGTTTTGAGTGTTTTGTAGCAACTTTTTTTTTTTTACCTTAGATTGCACAGAGCAACATATTCATGGATTCTTCACTATTCTGCTAGTGAGTCCTTGAGAAATGTATGTTAAAGATTAGCTCACTGAGCAGGTAAGTAAGTGCTCTGTCTTGGGTGGGCAACAAAATCTTCATACAGAGTAGGATAAAGGACTTCAGATATACCGATATTTGTATTTAGATATTCCCATTTGGATGACTGGTGTTCTGAGCTAGTAAATGTTACATATCTTATTGTTACATATCTTAAATATTGCTTTGGTTGCAAATAGTTTATTCCCTGAGATTATAGGTTGGTAAATGTTTCTGTAAAAGACCAGATAGTAAATATTTTTGGCTTCAGAGGCCATATAGTCAGTCCTAACTATTTTCCTCTGCA